GCTGGAAGGATAATCTGAATTGATAACAGAGCAATGAAGATTCTGAAATGATCTGTGGATTTTGACACACAAACGAAACCTCCAATCATTCCGGTTTGGATTCGCCTTTCTGGTATGAAATTTCATTATTTTTCTCAAAAAATATTGTATTATATTGCCTCAGCTTATGGTAAGCCACTCAAGACAGACATTCCGACTTTTAATCTTTCCCGTCCATCTGAAGCCAGAGTACTTGTTGAAAGAGACGTTACTTCTTTCACTTCTGAGGAAATATGGTTGGGCACACAGCATCATGGATATTGAGAAGGTAGAGATTGAGTCTTTTCCTTCGTATTATTCGAACAGTCGTATGTTCGGCCACTCCAGTTCACAATGTCATCATCTACATCCCCACCTCAGACCAAAAAAACAAAGTGCTCCGCTAGAGACACTTTGATCATCGAAAGGATACACCGGAAGACGTCACCATTCCAGCAGGCAAAATATTAATCATTCAGTCTCCACACATTGTTGTAGCTCCCCCGTTTTCGGATCCTCCTATCGTGGAGGCGAGGGAGATTCTTCAGATTCCGCCTGCCCTAGAACCTATCACTGATATTACACTACCCATTGGGTCCTGTTTCAGTCTCCAGACATTATTTCACTGAACTTTTTAATTAGACTGATTCCCTACCCATTGGGTCCTGATTTTGCAAATCAGGACGAGTGCTGGTGAGAATTTGGTTTGATAGAATCGTTTACCTCCATCGCAAGACAGTTGACTCTTAAGGGGGTCCAATTGGGGTGTGACATAAGAAGCCCTCAAATTCAAATAAAATATTTATGACAAAGAGATTGTTCAATATGAAGATATTGGAAGGTAGTTCGGCGGCTAAACAATTAAATAATTTCAACATTGTGACAAATAAATTGTCTTGTGGGTATCAAGTTCGACGATAAGGTCATGGCACCGTTAATCTTATCTTTATTGTCAAATAGTTGGGATGGACTAGTCACAGTGGTAAACAACTCTTCAAGTAATATGAAACTAAAATTTAATGATATTGAAGAGTTAGTGCCAAATGAAAAAGTCCGCAAAAAAGAGAGCAATGAAACTTCAAATTCTTCGTTGAATGATGAAAGCAGAAAAAAGAATCTGACTAAAAACACAAACAATAAAATATTAAGTCAAGAAGAGGAAAGTCCAGGTTAGGAGGAGGAAATGGCAGAGGAGAATGTTGGTGCCAGAGGAAGAAATGTCACTATAAAGTGACTGCAAACCTCCGGAGAAGACTAGTGGAGGACTAAAAAAGAATCTCTTTACAAATATCTCCACAGTTGAAATCCAATGTTACTCCCTAGTTTTTTCTGTAGATATTACTAAATCTTGGATAATAATTCAGGTGTCTCATTTTATGTCCGCCCCAACAAAAAGATGTTTAAAAATTACACATAAAGTGATCTAAGAAAGTTGTAAGATAGCAAGACCAACAATATTGTAGGAAAGAGAGATACTGATACCAACTTG